GGGGGGGGGGGGATTGGAGGCGGGGCTGGTGGAGGCGTTGGTGGCGGGGGTGGTGCGGGAGGAGTGCTTCCTTGAGCTGCATGCATGGATGTTAAGTACGTGGGTTTAAGTGAGATACGCGTAAGAAATTAGTGAGCTTTGGGTGTTTAAGCATGTTTTTTAGGGTTTTAATTAATAAGCTGTTTTAAGTAGTGACGGGTTCGTTACTTTTATGTTTAGGGGGAAAAAGAATGCTAGTTTTGTAATATTTTGACTTATTTTTGCTATTATCTTTCTGTATTTTGGATTTTAAATGGTTTTTTGCTATTTTGTGGTTCATTTAGTGGCTTGTGAACTGGCTTGATGACCAAGAAAATTAAGCTTAAGTTAGTCTCGACTACACTCGTTAAGCCTTTTGTGATATTCTTTGTCTCATCAAATACTAAAACCTATCAATCAGACACCACAAACCCAACAATATCGAAGATGGTTTCATGCACTAAAATTAAGATTGAAAATTTTTGGTCAACAAGATAAATTCAAAAAACTTTTATCACTTATTTTGTGACAATTAATACATAAATAAAAAAAATGCCATCAAATTAATCAATATAAATTTTCCAATAGGGTACCATATAATAATGAATGTTCTCATAAAATATTATAAGTAAACTTCTAATTCACATAAAAGTGATATTAACTTATTCAAAGAGATAAAAAAGTCCTAAGAGAATTTTAAAGCTCTACATAACTGTGATCATTTAAACACCATTATCTGACAATCTTTGTGCAAACATAATCAGTTGATCTTCATTGTCTGGCCACTATCAACAAATCACCATCACTCCATTGTCATCACTTCAAACAAAATTTAATCATAGTCACCAAATAACAGATTAGTGTGAAGCACTTTACCTTCTAATTATATTTCCTCTAACAATGAGAATAAATAAATTTTTATAATCCCAATTAATAATAGATTATTTTTTCATTATTTTTTCTTAAATAGGTTTCCTGTGTAAGAAAATTGATATCTCCTGAGTTCAGATCATGCACTAAAATTAAGATTGAAAACTATTGGTCAACAAGATAAATTCAAAAAACTTAAATCACTCTATTTTGAGATCATTAAGACTTAATAGATAAATAAAAAAAAAATATGATAAAATTAATTAATATAAATTGTTCAATAGAGTATCATATAATAAATGTTAATCCCAAAATATTAGAAGTAAACTATTGTAATTCACATAAAAGTGATGTGAGCTTTTATTCTTAGAGATGATAAAAAATATGAAGAATTTTAAAGCTCTAATTAACTGAAGTTATTGATCATCTAAAAATCATTATCCGACTATCTATGTGCATTGTCTGACCACTATTGGCCAATTAACATCGCTCGATTGTCTTTATGATCGCTTCAAACAAAATTTAATCATAGTCACCAAATAAACATGACTAATGTGAAGTACACCACTTTCTAATTATATTTCCTCTAATAAAGAGAATAACTAATTTCTATAATCTCAATCAATAGTAGATTATTTTTCTTAATTAGGTTTTCTATGTAAAATAGTTAATGCCGCTTATACTCTTTAAATATAAATTAATGGATTTATGATAACTGAATATAACTTTTAGATTAAATAAAAAGTAAAAAAAATTAAAATGCATGTATCTGCAATTAATTCAAGATAGGATAAATCTCCACTCCCTGTACACGAGGCTAACTAATAAATAGCCATTTACTGTACTTCAAATGAATTCAAGAGCCATCGTGAGAATTCATGCTTCTCATTTATTAGGCCACTACGTTTCCTTAAAGCATTCAATGAGCTCAAAGCAATATGTATGTATGCATGTATGCATTATGGTTTTTTTTATCTTTATATATATATATATATATATATATATATATTATATATATATATTTATTTATTTATTTTTTTTTTTTTGAAGAAAAGTGAGCTAAGAGCATTATGTTTATGTTCATTTGGGACTTGTGACCCGATAATATCGTAATAACATTGTTTATTGATAAGAAAATATGTGTATGAAATTTAAAGTTTAGGTTTTAAATATGTAAATATACTCACTGTTTTAATTATGTTCATTTGGGACGTTGCACGGAAATTAAACATACACTGAGGTAAAAATAAAATGATGATAAAGATATCGGTAAGTTTTGAAATGAAAATCTTCGAAAAAAGAAAAAATCACATGTGCTAGCCTAGTTGAGATAATTAAGTAAGTAACAGTGAGTGCATATACTCACTCTTCTCTTGAGTTAAGATGGAATTACAAAGTCGATGTATAGTGGTATTTTAGCAATACAGTCGTATCGGGCCTTCAAAGCATGTAGTCGATTGTTATGGAGACAGTAGTTTGCTATGAATGATGTAAATGATGATTGTAGTGTTAGATTGTTGTAGAGGCTGTAATTGAAAGTCATGGTAGCATTGGTCGTGTGCGTCATAGATAATTACTTCAAGAGTGTAAGTTGACCACATAGGCCGTAGTAAATGACTACAATAATGTTCGTAGGGCGCAGATGGTGAAGTTGGGAGTTGCTCGAACTGTGAGCTGCGTAGATTATAGTTCGTTACATAGGTTATAGCGGTGAGTTGTAATAACATATGTAGGATGCAAAAGACATAATTCACAAAGGTTGGACTTTGGAGTTATGTGTCGCGTTGGCCGATGAAGAAAGCTGTAAAAACGTCTACAGGCTACAGGGGCTGGAGTTGAGATCGACATGCATTGTGTAAGTCATAGTTACCGACATAAGCAGTAGCAAAGAGCTATAATAGTAGGGAGCTTCACTCTTTATAACTTCTTGACATCCCTAAAAGTTTATGATTGCGCGCTAACCTAATGATACATGTGTTTATCTTTTTAAGAGTACTAAAGATTAAAGAAGTGAATAATTATTATATTTTATCATATTCATTGATAATTTTGCAGAAAAGATGCATTATAAATTTTTTAGTTTGATTTTTGAAATGTAAATATTAAATTTATAATTTAAATATAATCTATGAATATGAAATTAAAATGTGTATATCATTTCTTTGATTTGTTAAGTTGTTGATTACATTTTTGGTTTTAGTAACATAAAATATATTTAAATTTTAAAAGTATTTATATATATAACATATTTTAAAGTTCATTATGCGGACGATTATATTATCCATAAACTATAAAATCTTAATTGAAGTGAAGTTTAAAAAACGCATGAACGATAATATTATTAGAGGCCTTTACATACATACCACCCAATTCCTATGTAATTACACATGTAACCCCTAAACTTTACCTTTTACATTTATATAACCCAAATCTTTCATCTCTACACGATTTCATGCATATGATAAGGTGACATAGATGTAAAAATTAAAATTTTGGTGTTAGACATGTGAATACATAGGAATTGAGTTATATGTATGTACCAATTTTATCTTATTCATATAGTCAACAAAAAGTAGAATGTAAAAAAACAATGACCTTTAAAATAGAATGATTCATCCTTTAACAAAGCTCGTTGAGCCCACCACCTCTAATGTCAAAAGACGAAGTTAAAAGCATATATTCGATATAGTTGTTGGGGTAAAAATTCATTTCTAAGAGAACCGAGAAAAATACGAGATCATGTGATTCGGTAAAAAGATTATCTACTTGAAGTACCCTGCACCCATGAAGATAGCTTCAGATACATGTATCTACTTGTTAGTTTGTCCTGCACGAAGGAAAGAGTTTTAAGAACTCAAGTCCTCATATGTGAAATGGAGGCTTATTAGATTTTTTTATATGACACAATTCTTATATTTTATTACATATCTCCTACATAAACTTTCAAATTTACACACATACTATTTAAATGTTTAATAACGCAATAAAAGTTGCACTAATATCCTTTTTTTTAAGTGAAATACATATTCTGAAGGCATACTTATAAAACACAAGACCACAGTGCAGGTAATTATGAAAATTTAAGTGCAAGATATGTAAATACATAATAATTGTGCGTGTAAATTTCTATTTATTTATTTATTTTTATTTTCTTGCTAAAATCTTAGTTGGAAAGCAAACAAGTATATCATTAATTATTAGATATTTTTTTTAATATTTTAATGCCTCAATGATATCATAGATAAGCAACATTAGACTTATTTTGCCCCCAAAATTTATCATGAAAGTATATAATTCAAATATCTATGTCAAAATCAGTCCCTGGTTTGATGAATTTTAAGGGCAGATCTTTCGTAGGGTATGAGAAATTACTTTATTTATTATTTTATTTATTTATTTATTTTTGAAAATTTTACATTCATACCAAACAATTCTTATTTATTTACGTAACAGCATTTAAAGAATGATATTTATATTTATAATATTTTTTATGTCATAAATATATGCATTTCACCTTTTAAAAAATTATAATGATGCATTTTTGATGTGATGTTAAATTTTTTAGTGTTGTACATGTAAATATGAGTATTAAGTATATAAACGCATAAGAATTGTGTGGTATGTAGGGCTGTCACTAGGGCTGTCAAAAAAGCTCGTTGTTTGCGAACAGCTCGTGTTCAGCTTGTTAAGTAGCTCGTGTACAAACAAGTTTTTAAAGCTCTAATTATAAACGAGCCGAACACAAACAACTCTTTGTTCGCTCGTGTTCGGCTCGCTTTATCTTGAAATAATAAAAAAAAAATTATATAACTATTTATGTAATAAAATATTATATATATTTATATCTAAATTTAATTCATAGCATCTCATGTGGTAATATGATTAACGCCTTATTTTGTATATATTTGGTCTATGTTAGAATCTCACACTTTACATCTATTTTTTTTCAATTTAATTTTAACGAGCTAATTTCGAGCGGAACACGAGCCGAACACAAACACGAATATTTAAATCGAGCCGAACACGAACACACTGTTCACGAGCCGATTTCGAACACGAGCTATTTCAAACGAGTTGAACCCGAGCCAAGCCTGACCTTGCTCAAGCTCGGCTCGTTTAAAGCCCTAGTGGTATGTTCGTAATTACCATTTTTTTAATCATGAAGTAGTTTCTGACCTGCCATTAATTAAACAAATTAAAGTTAAGAAAATAATAAACAACCAAACATTTTATCAAAGATTAAATTGTAGTTAATTCTTTTAATACTAATTAATTGTTGATAATTGGTTGGAGATGTATCAAATCGTGATTAGTGCATGATTAGCACTTCTGTAGCCCATAAAAATTTGTTAAGAGAATAATAGAAATCATGATAAGATAATGTGTTGTATTTTATTGAACTTTTTAAATAGGGGTGATCTGGTCATTTGAATTTATTTACTTGTATGCCCCAGTCCTCCTCTATAAAAGGGACAAGGACTTATGAGAGTTACATCTTAAGAAGTCTTGAGTTGTAACTCCAAACTGTTTTTCTTTATCCCATTTGATCATAGTGGAATCTCTCTCCACATAGAGGTAAGTGAATCGACTTAACGCCGAATCACGTAAATCTTTTGTGTATGATTGTTGTTATGTGGATTTCTACACTTTCACATTATTTTCACATTACATAATGAAAATAAGAGATTAAGGCATGTAACATGGTGTTGATAAGAACACTCATAAGAGGCGAAATTTAGGGCTGTCAAAACAACTCGTTGTTCGTGAACAACTCATGTTCGGCTCGTTAAGAAGCTCGTGTTCTGCTCGTTAATTTTTACCGAGCCGAACACGAACTAAAATGTGTTCCTTCGTGTTCGGCTCGAAATACTACTCATCAAGTTTAAATCTATAAAGTAGTATTTTAAAAAAATCTAATTGACTACAAGGTTTCAAAGATTTGTTTATTAATTAAGAAAACAAAATAAAAATTATTAAAGGAGATTCAAATGATGTTTTAATATAAACAAAATTTTTTTAGATCTTGCCCCAATCTTTAATATTTTATGGCTACGCAATTAGGGTTGTCAAATGACTCTTTGTTCATGAACGTCTCGTGTTCGGCTCGTTAAGCAATTGAGTTGAACACGAACACACTTTTTGAGCTCGAAATATAAACGAGCCGAACACGAGCGACTTGTGTTCGGCTCGTTTGCACCCCTAGCGATATTAATATCATTATCTAGTGTTAGTATGAATGGCGGTGAAAAGTAATGTTAAAGGTTAATTTTTAGATAACTTACAATTTAATATTTTTAATATTACAATTTATATAAAAAAAACAAATTATCCCAAACGTTTTAAAATAAACCAAAGAAAAATAATATAATAAATTTCGCTCACTTTTCATGTGAGAAAGACAATACCCTTTTTTAATTATCTTAGGAAGATTTACAAATGTACCACTCAATTCCATTGTATTTATATATCTAACACCCAAACTCCAATTATACATCCATACCATTTTATTTATGTAATAGAATTGAGAACGTGTTATTTACCGGGGAAAAATATTAGATCATGACTCCGAACCTAGAGCTACGTTCAGATTGCAATAGTTACGAATATCCCGCTGTGTTATAGGAATATTTCATCTGTGTTATTCGTAAAAAATAAAGTGTTATTCGAGTATTATATGACGTTATTCAATTATTTTGTGGTGTTATTGGAACATTCCGCCACGTAATTTGATTTGGGGCTGAAGTGTTATTGAAATATTCCTCCTCGTACTTGATTTGGGGCTGTGTAATTCCAATAACATAGTGGAAATTGAAATAACACGGGGAATATGTCGAATAACGCAACCCCAAATCAAGTAACACAAAAGAATTTTCCAATAACACCTTAAAATAATCAATAACGACATATAATACTCGAATAACACTTCATTTTTACAAATAACGCATATACAATATTCATGTAACACAACAAAATATTTCTGACTATTGCAATCCAAACGTAGCTCTACGTTCAGAGTCCTGATGTAATATTTTTTCCGCTACCGAAGATATTTTGAGGTGATATGAAAGGTTAGCGTGGCGTAAATACAACAAGTCTAAAGGTTAGATATGTAAATACATATGAATTGATTGGTATGTCTGCAAATGTTCCCATTTTCTTAATAAGTAAAAGTCAAGTCGTCGCCAATTATCCTGATAATTATTTGTAATTATATGATATAATTGTACACACACCAATTTAAAATGAATTATTTAGAAATAATTCTATGAGCATCAAAATTATACTAAAAAAATGATAAAAAAAATTTATACTGCTAAAATAAAAAATATCGCAATTTAAATTTTCTTTTGTAATTATTAAATTACTGCTGTATTTATTATTTTTAAAAATTCTATTACGATATTTTGATAGATTGATATAAGAACAAGGTTATTATTGCCAAACGTGTCATTGATTTTAGGCAGCACATTTATTCCACAATATAATTAATTTATTTAGTAATATAATTCCATAAATATAGTATAATTAAATTATTAGACATTTACAGATAATATGAATGTGTGAAATCAACGATATAAAAAAAAAATATTGGGAATGTCAAATTGGTCAGCATAAATATACTTATTTTAAAAATATATACTATTTTCAAGAAAATTGGGGAAGTAATGCATATCAAAAATATCAACACATTTTCATAAATTCATGTGAAGGGTATGTTGGGAAATGCTTTCTGCCTGTTTTGCTTTTCAGACTGTTACCACAAATTTATTTGGAAACTGTTTTCTTGTTACTTTTTTAGAAATTTCTATGATAGAAAACTATATTTTTTCAATATGAGTTGTTACAGTGTAGTGACTGTCATAAAATTGCGGTCTAAATTTTTAAAAATAAAATAAAATTGTAATAGTTAGCATAACTTTTTGAAATACAATTTCTTCTATAACAGCTTAATAATTATTTCTTCAAATAGTTATAGCTGAGTCAAATATACCCTTAAAATTATAAAAAAATTCGTACAATTTATTTAAAATATCAAAGTTAGGTTTTCATATAAAAAAGTCTTCAGTGTATCACGATTCATAACTCATAATTAGCCAAGTATTGGGGGCTTATAAAGTCCTCAACCCTGACCTCGTGGTGTATCATAAAAGAGTCATGGCACTATTAGAGCACATCCCTGATGTGATTTTGATCAAAATACTTCGTTCTCTCAATGAAAAAACTTACGCTATTGTAAAACTAGCCAAAGAGTTGTAGTTTTAATGAGGATCCCGTAATAGTGGTGATCCAAGATAGAAAGGTCCTATCACCAACTCTTCTTAGCACTCTAGAAGCCTCTTTGTTGGGGGATAAAGGCATAGTCCTTTCCTCTTCTGATGGCTCAGATGTGGATTGACGTCAAGCCTTCATCGCATATTTGAAAAGGTTTGTGTTTCGAGATATTTGAAAAGTACTTTTAATAATATAGGTTTGTGTTTCGAGATGTTTAGTTTGATTATAAAGTTGTTAAAATAAAAAATTAAATGATACAAATTTGATTATAATCATGTCGAATTCATATATCATTTGACCTTAGAATTAATGATTCAATGCTTCAAATTATAATTCAGACCTTTCATCAAAGTTCCTTTCAACTTGGATCGAGGATTTGTGTTTCGAGATGTTCAGTTTAAAATTTAAAATACTAATGATTTGAATGATTGTAAATTTGAATCTAAAAATTATCCCATCTTTAATATAATAAGTTGTGTTTGATCAATAAATTTTTTTGTAACATAGCAATATTTATTATGCTTTATTTCCCTAAAATTTTACAAGTAAAAATTTCTATTTAAAAAATAAATAATAGTGATATTTTTTTACCTACTACTAAACATTTAAGTGTGATACATGCAAATAAAAAAAAATAGATATTAGATATATGAAATAAAAATTATTTGGTATATATGTAAAATTTATATTTCTCTTAAAAAATTTGTATAACATTGGCATCTGGGCCATTCTGTAAATACAAGAAAATGAGGCGTGTATATAAGAAAACAGCATTATTTATTGTTACCACTCATCAATGGACAGAGAAAAAGAAAGAAGCCGAACCCCACAGAAATAAACCAAAACCCTTCCCCACTTCTCTCCCCCTTCTCGTCAGACAGCTCTAGTGTTCCCTGCCATCTCTTTCCTCCCTTCCGGAACAAGATCTGGGCGTCTTCGTCCGCAAAAATGAGGAATTCGGTGTTGATGTGAAGAGTGATTCAACGGAGGTTTGTTGGTTTCTTCTCATGAATCCTTCGTCGCTGATCTCGCGAAGAGTTATGCCGGAGATGTGGCAGTTTCCAATGGTCGGAGTACCTTCAGCAGTTAGGGTTCCGGCTGCTGGAATAGGCTACCGAGATGTGTCGGCGGGAGAATCAACGGTGACAGAGCATAGCCCGGGGAATCGGTGCAAGAAGAAGCGTCGGGATGCGGGGCCGACTGCGGCTTCGATTGCGTTGTCGGAGGAGGATTCTTCGAAATTCGTTTCTACAAGCAGCGGTGGCATTGATTTGGTATTTAACTCGGTAATCCTTGAACGATTGTTTTGTGATTTGACGGTTTTCACTGTTCAGGGTTTAGTTTATTTGTGGTTGTGGGGTAATATTTTGTGAGATCTGGGGAATCTTTTTGAGGCGGACGTGAAATTTTTTTATATATTTTTAAGTTTAATATTGCTGTTTGGTGGTTGTGATCGATGGATCTGTGGTTGATGTTGACAGATCATTAGTTTTATTACTGCTGCTTTTGTTTATGTTTATCGTCTTAGCGTTTTCGTTGCTGACAATGACTTACGGAAGTTTTCATTGCCCTCTGACATTTTCATTGTTTGTAGTTTTTTGAGGTCTCCGGATTTTACTACTACTTTTTCTTCAATTTGAGCTAGGTGTTGGGTAGCACTGTGGCATTGGGACTACGGGTGTACCTTGTTGAACAGTTGTTCTACTAGATTGGTAACTAAAACCTATAGATTTCCATTGATTAGAGCTTGAAATGAACCAAGCTAAGCCCAGGACTGCGTTGTTAAGGCTCGTCATTTATCTTCTTTTTGAGCTCGAGCTAAAGCTTGAACATAATTCGAGTTTTATAATATTATTCAAGCTCGTTTATTGATATTAATTTTGAATTCCATCTTTTATCCGGCATAAGTAACTATGTGCATTTAATGCAGGACCACACACTTCTACAGAATCAGACGTCACATTCCTCTTATCAACTTTCCGTTTATCTCTGTTTTTTTTTTTGGCAATTTCGTTTCATCCAGTTAATTTTGTGTTGTTGTGTCAAAGCAGGGATAACTGTAGTATGTAGAAAATAACTCCATTTTTTTAAAAGAAAATATAAAATTTATGCTGCTTCTTCTTCGCGTGGTTTTTTTGCTGCTAAATTAGCTCTATTTTAGAAGTGTTATTGGACACCATCACTGGATTTTAATGGCAGAAGGCAGCACATGATCTATATGACCGATTCTGATCATAGACGAATTGATGACCTTACTTGTAGGTTCATCCAATTCATTCCTTAGACGCAGCGTGAGTTTCAAAATTTCAAGAAAAGTGAAACTCAGACTCGACCACAGTGTTTTGCAGTCCCGGTACCCATATTTACTCTATGTGAAACCCTTTAGTAGATTTTGACCACAGCATACTTGACAGCCTTTCTATAGTCTCAGCTAGGTTTCTGTGAATCTGATGAAGATAGAGACCCTCGTCGGTGTCTCTAGTCGTTAAACTCTGAGGTAGATGATGAATATCGTTCGATTTTTTCAGTAGACGAAATTTGTGACTGACATCATTCCAACTTCTGTTTAAAACTCGATCTCCGTTCTGTTCACAACCATTCATGCATAGAAGATTATTGGGATTGGGAAAAAATCTTCCAAAACCTTTTTCAATTTTGTGAAAATTTATTTCTGGAAAAGGATTCATGTAGCCGACCCCACGGAGTGGGATTAAGGCTTTATTGTTGTTGTTGTTGTTATTTCTGGAAGCAAGTTAAAGCCATAGTTTGTAAATTAAAAGGAGGAGTTCAATGGTGGTACTAATTTAGGCAGTATTGACAGCAATCGAAAGGGACCTGTTAGAAGTAGGCTTTGATTGAAATAATTTTTATGAGGTCATTTTTACCATCTTACTTTTAATAGATACTGTATTTGCAATGTCAGCACTGCAAATAGGGGAACAATCTGTCAGTGATCATAGGAAGGAATTTTACTTGTGCGAACAATCCGATTGAGGCCAAAAATCAATTGGTCACTCTTTATAAAGGGAGCCTTAAATAAACAATTCAAGAAAAAAAAAAAAAAACTAGAAATGAACTCTTTCTGGTTGTTGCCTTATTCCCTCAACTTTGCCTACAATTCCAAGCTGCAATTCACCCAAAGCTTTCAAGGTATTCATGCTTGCACGCATTCAAGGAGTTGAGGATTAGATGCCTGCAAAACCAATTTTCCTGAAGATTAGCTTGCTTCAATCCAAATCAATTTTTAAAGCTCAACAAATATGGTAAAAAAGAGACTAGTCGAATGAATATCCCATATTAGACGTGACAATCCTTATGCGAATCTGAATACCTTAAATTGTTTTTGTTTTCAATTTGGACACTAGTCGAATGAATATCCAAGTTGAAAATAAATGCTGTTTGCTAACGGTGAGATGATGCGGAGAAAGTATCGGGAGATGTGGAGGACTTCCTTATCTTTATTATTAAAAAAAATGATAGTACCACACCACCAGTGGCCATGAGAAAACACAATTGCTAGAATGTGTTTCACCATTAATGGCAAGAACATCGATAGATAATGATTGCTCTAAAATATAATCTTCAGTTCTGTGTTAAAGCTTTACGCCTAAAAACTACTGAACACTTGCACACTTACAAGATCGTTTGGTTTCGAAAGGGATCAAGATTTTGGTTTCAATTATGCTTTACACAATTTTCTCTATTGGAAAAAAAAATTTGTGCGAAGTTTTATACGATGCGTGACATTTGACCTGTGAACGTAGTAGATTGTTAGGCCAAAACTTACTCTTTCAAGTGAAACAGACAAACAAATTTGTTACTTTGGATACGTCTTTAATAAATTTTTTATATCCAATACGAATCTTGAAGCTTAACACGGATCTCAGAACAATCTTCTGAGCAAGTAGTGTTCAAAATTTGATAAGAAGTCATTCAGAAGTCTGATTTAAGTAAACTTACTGTCAAACTGACCAACTCGACGAGATGAACCTAATGATACCAAAATTGGTCTAATCTAAATCAATTCAAGCTTAGATCGTCATTAAACCATGTTTGAAAGTTTTCCAGACACATTTGAAAGATCAAATAGATGTCGAATACAGTGATTTCATAGTTGAATCGAGTGTCTCGACAAGAAGAATCCAAAGAGCTCATGATCACTTAATTTTGACAACATTAAGACACTCAAATGACCATTAAATGCTGTTCGATTGAAAGAATTTCTCCGGGCCGTCCGATCATATTGGTTGAAATTTCATCATTAATTGTTGCCAGGACTATAGATAGTGACCCACAGAGGAGAGAGTTTGAGAATTGAGGAGGAGCTTGAAGTTTTGAGAAGAAGTTGAAGTCCAACATCACTCCTGGTGCAGTTGACCACCGCAGACAGTTATCGACTACTGCCGACCCCTGTCGACCACCACCTGTTGGATGCAACTGATTGCTATCGGTTGTCGTTTGTTCCTTGTAACAAGTTCATCCGTACATCGACGTTGTAAGTGAGAAGACTTTGTTATCTTTTCCCATTTGTGGAATAATGGGTTTCTGAAATCATCAACTTATGATCGATTTTTACAACTGGGCCAGACCCCATGAGTTTTCTCCTTTATAGGTTTTTCACATAAAAGTTTCTGTTGTCTCTACTAGCTGTTTTCCTTTATCTGAGTGTGTGTTGAATCTTCGTACAATGCTAAGATGATAATCTATTATTCTACCTCCGCGAATTTTCTAGCACGCATCAACACCAATTGTATCCAACTCTCAAAGCAACCAAGATGTTTCAACTCTGGCTATGGTTTCAGGCTCCAATCTATTAGTCACTTGCAAGGAACCTTCAACCATGTTTGCATTGATGGTTGTCAAATCCGACAGTGAGACAACATTGCTTCCCAATTTTGTTCAGTCTTTTTAGAACAATACTTATGTAATAATTGAGTAGAGTTATCACATGAATTTCCACCATTATGGTTTGTCCAACGCCAGATAGACCTCACAACAAGAGCTTTGTCAAGTCTTCTTAACTATCAAATGATTCCTAAGGAGCACCGTATGTTACAAGCTGGGCAAATTATTAGGAAAGAGATTATGTAACATAGCCTAACAACCTAAACTTAGTTTGTGTGTAGATAATCAATGAAAGTTAGGGGTTGACATGCGTGTGGATGATCGAACCATCAGTAAGATTGCTATCACACATCACTTTTAGTTGCCATGCAAGGGATGTGCTTGATAACAATCAGATAGAAGGAATAATATATTATTTACAATTTTATTGCTTTTAAATTGTAGTGCTTATAAACAAGTTTTATTAAATTTATGGTTATGAATATTGAGGTCTGTATAGTCGACACACATTCTTCATGAACCACTAACTATTGAGTTATCTATCGAGACAACAATGAACTGGATTAAGCGAGTTATCTATCGAGGAAAATCTCCTATGACAACAGGGAAATTTATTGTTCCCTCGACCCGTACTGGTCAATTATCAAAACCGTGTAATGATCCAGATGTAGATTAATGTTTTTTCCTTGTAGGTCCCAAACTAAGGAAAGTGGAGTAAAATAAAACATCAACAGAGCTCCCATTGTTGATTAAGATTCTTTTTGCATTGTAGCAAAGTTCGCCAATTCCCGCGCTAATGACAAGAGGATTTTAGTGAGGTACTTATCAAAAGTGATTGGTTCAAGGCGTAATTTTTTCTATGTTGGTTCACCAGGTGTAGTGATAAAAACTTGATCAGTCAGCAGCGGACCTCCTGCAATTGTCTGAATTTCACCTACGACTAGGTGACCCCCATGTTGTTGCCCCCCAACAGGAGCATTATCGTTACCAGTTAGTTTGTTTTGAATAAATCGACCAAGATACCCCGTTGAATCAACATTTCAATTTCTTCCCCAAGGAATTTACATGCCTTAGTGGTGTGGCCACGACTTCGATGAAATGGACAATATTGTTCTTGATTTTTCGTGTTATGTTTTAAGGGGTGAGGCCACTTAACAGCTTGTTCATCCTTGATGGCAATCAAGATGTTTGCACGTGACGTGTTGAGTGGTGTATACTATTTCTTGGGTCGATATTCAGTTCGTTGACCCGCATGTTGAAGGAGGAGGTCACTATTCTTCGGTTGTTCAGACTTTCTCCGTTGCAAAGATTGATTATTGTCTCTGGAGTTACCTTTGCGTTTTTTCCTAAATTTCTCAAATTGTTCCTTATGTGCACTGATAGCCTCGTCTCCAGTGATTTGGGCTTTAACACGGTGAACATGATTAACATAAGAACAAAC